TAAGAGCAGTCATCGCCCAAGGCCTGTCCGATGAGAGTAGTCATCGGCTGAGATGTTGTTTGGTAAAGGGGATCCGACCAAGTGGTGTCCGATAAGGACAGAAGTTGTTTATTTTTGTATCTTTCAAATATGGTTTATAAATTGAGAAAGGTACTGTGGTTTCTTTCAAAACTGTTGAATTGAATAACCGTTTTTGAAAGAATGTTGAGATGATATTTGAAAGTGGGTTTAAGAACTATAAGAGTTTTTGAGATAAAGTTTTTGATATGAAACTGTTTTGAGGCCATTATTGGCTAAAACTATAGATTTATCTGTAGAATTAATGAGGAAATAAGAGTGGCATATCAAGGAGAGGTGTACCATGGGATAAGGGTGACATATCAAGGAGAGGCGTACCTTGGATAAGCATTTGTGAGATCTGGTTATATTATAGCTCTTGTTGTCATATCCATGAGATGCAATAATTCTGAGTCAACATTTCTTTATGACATGAAGACTTGGAAAAATTGCTCTTATTAAAATGATAACAACGATGTTATTGAGAAGGGAAGAATGGCTTATAGCCGGAGGCATTAATTGCCTGTGTTTCAAATGATTTTGAGTTATCAAATATCATATTTTGGTTATTTAAAAGAGTAGAGATTTGAAATAAAACCTAGAGGGACTTTGGTTATTATTCAATTTAGTTTTCGTTTGAGTTTAAAACTGTTCTTATCTTAAAAGCTTTTGATAATAACCAAGAACTCTGGTGATTGGTATTTCTTGGTATGATTTGAAGGTTGAGACTATAAGCTCTAGTCTGATGAGACTTGAGAGCTTTGAGAATTGTGTTCCAGATGTTTGTGAGAACTTGAGTGGTTATATATATATTTTGTGGTAAGATACTTTTATAACTTGCAGTTGTATTACTGAAGTTATATTTCATTAAAGTGGTTGGATGTCCATATATGGGTTTTATAACAGGTTTTGGTGATCTTCACCATGTAATTGCAAAGAAGGGATTTCTCACTAGACCTCATGGTCTAACCCTCATTTTGTGTTTTTAAAAATTATGCATTGGAGGTGCGGCTGGGTCCAGGGATAAGGGGGAAGGGGAAATGTAATTATTTTGCTTATGTGCTTAACTGCTATTTGAAGAGCTGCCTGTTATTTGATGGCTTTTGGAAGTACATGTTGTTTAAACATGTGATGTACAAGAAGATTATTTTGGAATTTTTAAGTTGTAAATTCTGTATTATGATTTCTTGTACTGTTGGGACCAAAGTGGTGTAATTGTATTTCTTATTATATGAAGTACATGTTTATATGCAAAGGTGGAAAGTGGGGTGTTACAAACACCCATTCTCTCCGAAGGTGGGATCATCCTAATCACCAATCACAAACTCACCGGCCCCAATTTCAACCGATGGTCGCACTCTATGATGATCTTCATAAGTGGTAAAGGGAAAGAAGACTATCTAACAAGAGAAGCACTGACGACAGAAGATAGTAAGAATTATCAGACATGGAAGATAGAAGACAACAAGGTTGTCATAGCTATTGAACTCAATGATGAATGAAACTGGTGAGAATTTCATGCATTACAAGACAGCCAAGGAGATATGGGAGGCAGCCAGAGACACATACTCCAACAAAGATAGTGCCTCAACAATCTTTGAAATCAATGGGGTATTACATGATCTTCGTCAAAATGAATGGAGCGTCATAGAATATTTCAACCTATTGACCCGCTACCAGCAACAATTAACGTCCTCGATGATGTATCTTGGAGTTGTGCAGGTGACTAAAAACAGTACAAATAGATCCAAGAAAATGAACAAATATACGAGTTCTTACTTCGGTTAAACCGAAACCTCGATGAGGTTCGAGGAAGAATTCTGAGTTGTAAGCCATTACCAAGTGTAAGAGAAGCCTTCTCGGAGGTTCGTAGAGAATAACTCACAGGAAAGTGACGTTGGGATCTATGAACAATCAACTAACTACCGAAGGTTCTGCTCTAGCATCCAGCAAATGCATCAACGGTTCTAGACAACCACAAGGAAGCTTCCGCAACAACGATTCATCAATTAGCTATGGTTAACGATTAGGTAATCGTCCTTGGTGTGACCATTGCAAGAGCCATGGGGACACAATGAAGATTTGCTGGAAAATACATGGGAAACCTCTAGGAAGGCAACCGTCTGGATCATTGGGTCATGTTGCAACAACTTAAAGCACCCCTTTTAATCAAGAAAAAATGGAGCCTTGCAAAGGACGCTCCAAGTCACAATCCAATCAACAATTTGGGGAAATGGTACGTTGTTGCTCACTCAGAATGATCATGTGCCAAATGCCCTAAATGCAAAGTTCACAGGGGAATGGATTGTGGACTCCGGAGCTACCAACCATATGACTGGGATCATCATTTTACTCGATAAACTCTGGCCTAATCAGACGGGCAGAGTTTGGACTGCTAATGGATTACTATCAGATGTGAAGGGCATAGGTTTGGTTACTATCTCAAAGGACATTACTCTCAATTTTATTCTTTATGTCCCTAACGTTACCTATAACTTAATATCTATTATTGAACTCACGAAGGACCTCAATTGTACCACTAAGACGTCTTCTACTTTGTGCGAATTTCAGGACTCAGACTCAGGAGGATGATTGGCAGTGCTAACAAATAAAAAAAATATAATATACTCATTAGGTTTAGAGAAAATACTTGGATGCTCGAATGGAGCATGTTAAGAAGATATTGACACACACACACACACACACACACATATATATATATATATATGGAGTGAGGGAGAAGTGAATCGTCTTGAGAGGAGCACAAAACAACCATTCTTTTTGACTTTTTAGCCTTTGTGTGTGTGTATATATACATTATATATACATATATATATGTATGTCAGTATGTGTGTGTGAGTGAGGCATAAGTGAATGGCTCTGAGAGAGAGAGAGAACAAGTGCAACCCTTCTTTGTGTGTGTATATATATACATATATGTGTGTGTATGAGTGATGCAAAAGTAAATGGCTTTGAGAGTGAACAAGTGGCAATCGTTCTCTTTGACTTTTCGGTCTTTGTGTTGAATAAAAAAAGACAGCCCACATCATATATCAAATGCGTACGCCTCTCTATGCCTCACCGCCTCACAACCCGACCCACCAATTTGACTGATAGAAGCTCTGACACGCGGCGCCTCAAGCTCGGCATTTGGCCTTGAGGCATACGCCTCAACCTAGCTTTATATCCATGGTACTTACTACTAATTATCTAATTAGCCATATGCCTTCTCATGTTCTTGATAGAAAGACAGCGTACTCTATTCTAGTTCAAAAGGCACCCCTTTTCCTCTAACTCATAAAAAATATATAAATGCCTCCTATATCCGACTACTCCCCAAAACATAATGAACTTGAACCACATGCTATCAAGTGTGTTTTCCTTGGGTATTTGATGTGTCCAAAAGGGCTACCATTGTTATTGTTCAACTCTTCGTATATACTTTCCCTAAACTGATGTTACCTTCAATGAGTCGAGTCCCTTCTTGAGAAAGAAACTAGCAATCCTTCAGAGTCGCCAAATCCAAATTATGAGGAGCATGGTTTAGGCGCTTTCAAATATTCTTCAGGAGTTTTGTATTCACAGTTCCCAAAACTATTATATGTTCCCTCAACACCATCATGGTCGATGAATCATACTAGTAGTATATGCAGATACATTATTATCACCGGAGATGATAGCATCGAGATTTCAAAGTTGAAGCATATCCTAGACCCAATTTTAAGTTATGGATTTAGGACGTCTATTTTATTTCGATGGAAAAGAAGTTTATCAGTCTATGCAAAGGGGTGCTCCTATCTGAAAGGAAATATGTGTTGATATGCTTACCAAGTGTGGTCTACAAGTGTGGTCTACAAGTGTGCAAACCATTGTATAACCCAAATGCTCATTACTAGAAAACTTCTTGTAGAAAAGGGAAGTCCTATGAGAGGTCCAAAGAGACAGAGAAGATTAGGTTAAACTATTTGACAATTATATTATTCGTAGCTGTGTTTTGAGTTGGTTCATGTGCAATCCGTAGACATTCATAGGATGCAACACTCCAAGTTTTGAGGTATCTCAAGGCCACATCAAGCGTAGGGATACTCTATTCAAATCAAGAACATTGTCGAGTGGTGTATTTGTCAAAAGTGATCTAGTTTCATAGGAAAACAAGAAACACATTGTCTCTCGATTAAGTACGGAGTAAGAGTAAAGAGTTATTACAAATATGTCATATAAGATGATGTGCAAATAATGAGAGTTCTTACATAGCTTAGAGTGCTTACTTTAATGTGATACCAATCAACTATTCACATAGCCAAGAAACAAGTAATCCATGAGAAAGATCAGGCACGTTGAAGTTGTTGTCACTTGACATAGACTATGTTGCGGGACATGGACATACTCTCCATCGATCCAACCTATTCACATTGGGATCAGGTACCAACTTGTAGACATTCTCACAAAGCCATTGTGTAAAACACATAATTTTATTTGTAAAAAGTTGCGTATGATTAACATCTTTGCTCCAACTTGAGGAGTTAGATATATTGTAATTATAGGTAGTTACTTAGAGTTATTTAAGTTCAATTAGTTTCCTTGTCTAGGTTGATTTACTTTCCTTGTTTAGGCCAACATTTAGTATGTATTGAGGTGATTACATTACAATGAAAATACACAAAAAAACGTCCTCGGATACAATTACACATTGTATTAAATAACTAACATATTTATAAAATCAATTGGTGAAAGCAAGATCATGTGTCAAGGAGTAGTAGCAAATATCTTCCGGTATTGATATAATTGAAACAAAAGCGAATGTGAAACCCACTATCCATAACCAAATAAATGTAGACCTAAGTTTGATGATAACTTTCAACATATCTATTGTTACCGACATCAAACAACTACATACAACAAGTCGCACAAAATGAATATGCTCATCCTTAAAACCAATGTACCTGAAATCTCGGATCCTTCGTCCATGAACCTCAAACACCCCAAGTGCACCATTTACTAGAGCAAATGAAAAACTCTCTGTAAAGTCTTCTTGAGCTCCATCTACAAGTTAATTTTGAGCATGAAATCTTATGGCATCTAAGAAAACAAGGGATAGAGTGCCAAGAGATTACAAGTATAAATCAAGTATGTGAAATCAAGTAGAAAAAGAAACTCACTAGAGTCTGTAGGCGACACATCAGATGCCACAGAAGTGTTATCTTGGGAATTAACTGTAGATGGCTTAGATGTTGCACTATGAATCGGCCGTGGAACAGTAGGAAGAGTCCACTCCAAAACTGTGAACGGAAGAGCTAAAGACCTAAGCTGCAAAAAGGAAATAATACAATAGATGTACTAGAGTTGCTAAGCCAATACACAAGTGATACACAAGATTGTAAGGGTAGAACCACATTCGAAAGCAATTAATTCATAAAGAGCTTGCATAAGAAAGGACTTTTCGACTCCTATGCATGAACATATATATGTTATAGGTGTGTGTATGCATATATAGGGTCATGTTCAAACAAGAAGGCGGTCAAATTGGGAGAAGGCGAGAAGTTTCAAGATCATATATGATTACACATGATACACACACTTAATCATATATGGGTTAAATACATGTTGTGTTGACCGACACATAGTAGGCGACCTTCCCCAGCGACCTTTGGTCACGTTCACCAAGTAACCTATGTCCCTTTGGGATGTGTTTAATTGTATATAATTCAGCGTTTGTATCACGTGTAATCATATATGATCTTGGAACTTCTCACCTTCTCGCAAATTGATCAACTTCTCTTTTGATCCTCCCCCTATCTCTCTCTCTCTCTCTATATATATATATAATTAGAGAAAAGTTTAAATGAGTACCATGAATAGGAGTTGGCAACCAACTATATCATGTATTATTCATGATGAATAACCCTCGTATATCCTGAGTTTCATGCTTTTTCATTATTTAGGTCTTTTAGGTTGTATATGAAAGAATTTATTATTAATGAGATAGCATAACGAATTTTCTCAGAAACTTTATGGTGTGCTGAAGGCTTTTATTACTGAAACTATTCTATTTATTTTGTAGTTCTTTCATCAGCTCTGTCTAAGAAAAACTATCCATGCCTTCATCAACTCCGCTAATGTTATTGGACAACTAAAGTTGTCCTTGAAGCACAATCCGAATGAGGATGTAGCATACTAATTCCATAAGGAGGGGAAAAATATCAGAAGTTTATTTACTATACTTGGCGAACCAAGTGGCTCAAGCTTCATAGCAAATGCACATATTTATTCAGCTCAAGCGTTACCTGTCTCAATAAGCAACTATGTGTGCGTTATAGATTCAGGAGTCATGGACCACATGACCAACTCACCATCTCACATACACACCATGTTCGGAAAACTGAAAGATTGGGATAGCTGATGGAACACTAGCCTCCATAGCCGGAATAGAACTATCTTTGTCATTCCAGTTATCACTCCTATATGTGTTCTTCATGTGCCTAAATTATCTAAGAACTTAATGTCTTTTCCAAGATGACCAAGAATTTGAGTTGTAGGATCATTTTCTCGTGTAATACATGCACTTTTTAGGAACAACTATGCAGAGAACGATTGGGCTTGCTAAAGAGAATCATGGGCCATACTAGTTGGTTACCAGCCGTGGCAAAAATAACGAGCGAACCTATGTCCCTTGTATCATAATCATTTTCATCCAATATAGTCTAGATATGGCTTCATCACTTTCGATTAAGACATCCCTTTTTTGATACACCCAGAAACAAGTTTCCTCTTTTGTTTGAAGAAATAAATATCTTAATTTCAATGCGAATCATGTCAGTATGCTAAACATCAAAGAGTACGTTTCAACCCATAAATCATAAATCACTATTTCCTTTAACTATTGTTCATTGTGATGTTTGGGGGATATCTAGAATTGCAAGTCTAAATTGTGCATATATGTTTGTCACATCTATTGGTGATTGTATACAGCTCACTTGGTTATTCTTGATGAAAAAGAAATATAATCAAGTACAATTGTCCCACACTTTCTTAGCATAATCCAAAGCAAATCAACACCGCAATCAAAGTCATTAGATAAAACCTGGAAAAGACACTTTCTTAGCATGATCCAAAGCAATTCAACACCGCAACCAAATTCACTAGATCAAACCTGGGAAATAATACTTCAACCCAACCTGTCTCCTATCCTTCCAAACAAAGGCATCATACACCAATCCACCTAACCAAATACACCCCAACATAATAGGGTGGCAGAAAGAAAAAAGGCACCTAATTGAAACCACTCAATCCTTGTTGTTTCAAAGAAAAGTTCCTAAACACTACTAGAGGCAACCCTAACCGCTACCTATCCGATCATTAGGGTTATTTCACGTGTCTCCATTATAACACTCCTATTCGGGCTATCTCAAGTTCTTCCCATGTATTGATTTGAATCACATTGGCACCAAGAATATTTGGATGCTGATAAGCCTACTGTACGTTTTACATATAAAAGAAGATTTAAGTAGTTTAGTTGTAAAGTGGAGGGTAGTTTGGGTATTTTCTGAATAGAATAATTGAGACAGTTCCTTTATATTGGGAAGTTTGTTAGTGGAGTTGCATTCTGTTTTGTAAGTTTGAAAAGGAGCGCAAGCTCTCTAGGGAGAGAACCGGCCTCTCGAAAGCCGTGTACCCTCTGTAATCTCTTTTTCTTTACTCAATTCAATAAAGAAGCTACCGACAACAATCAATTGCATCAAATTGGTATCAGAGCGAGTTCGATCCAGCTATGGGAACGAGAAGTGCAATGGCCAGAATAGACGATTTGGAGAGCTGTGTTGGTTCGATTGAGAAGAATCAACAGATAATGGAGAAGAATTTCGAGAAGATTTTTCAGCAATTGGAGAAATTAAGCAACGAAGTATCAGCTAGGGTGATTACGTCAGGATCATCGGACGGCGAGGATGGGGAAGAAACGGAGAAATCGAAGAGGAAGAACGAGGAGAGGCAGGGATAGGGTCGACTCTTTTTCGTGAAAGGTCGAAAGCTAGAAATTCCTTCTTTCGATGGAATCGATCCTGATGGATGGATTCTTCGTGCGGAACGCTATTTCTATCTTAATCGATTGATGCAGCAGGAAAAAATTGACGCATCCTTTATATCGTTTGAAGGTACTGCTTTAAAATGGTTTCAGTAGGAGAATCGATGGCATCCGATTTCACGATGGGAGGATTTGCGTCAACTGATTCTTCGTCAATTCAAATCGGCAGCAGCTGGAACATTATGCAAACAGTTTTTGGCTTCAAACAAGAAGGTACAGTCGATGAATTTATGATGAAGTTTGTGGAATTGGCGGCACCACTGGAAGGAATCTCGGAAGAAGTATTCATGAGTCAATTCACCCACGGTTTGAAGAATTCGATCAAAGCCGAGGTACGACTTCTTAATCCAGTAACACTTGAGGAAGCGATGGAGATGGCTATGAAAGTTGAAGCTAGATACAATGTGATCGATAAGGAAAGAACGTTCTCAGTGCCAAAAAAATCATTTACGATGTTTTCGAGTAATAGGATTGTTACCGGTGGGGCTGAATCAGTAAACAAGTTCTAGTTCGATGAACAATTCGATAAACAACTAGAGACCGGAGTACAGAAGACTGTCAGATCAGGAGGTTCAACAGAAACAAGCTTTGGGCCTTTGTTATCGTTGTGATGAGAAGTATTCTCTAGGCCATAAGTGTAAAAAAAGAGTTGAATGTTTTGTTAGTACAAGAGGAGGAAACGGTGGATTCCGGTAGTGAAGTTGAGGACGGTAAAGTGCTGAATACAGCTGACGTGATTGAGGTGAGCAAAGAAGTCGAAGTTCATCTTAATTTGGTAGTAGGCCTAACGAATCCGAAGACTATGAAAATGGAAGGACGCATAGAAGGTCAAAAAGTGGTAATCCTCATCGATAGTGGAGCAACTCACAATTTCGTTTCCAAAGATATAGTAGATAAATTGAATATGAAGATTGACAAAATGAAGGAGTATTTTATAACGATGGGAATGGGGAACAAAGTGGAGTAACGGGATTTGTAAGCATGTGGTGTTGAATGTGCAAAGTTTGGAGGTGGTAGAAGACTTTCTGCCAATCCAATTGGGAAACAGTGATGTGATCTTGGGGATTCAATGGCTGGAAACTTTAGGAGCAACGTACACCAATTGGAAACAGCAAGTTATGAAGTTCACAATCGGAGG